GAATTTCCTTCTTTTAAAAATGATACATGACGACGGGTAATTGGACCGTAACTTACTCCATGCATGGACGTATTCTAAAACTATTTTTTTTTTTAACTCAAATGGTCCAACCAATCGAATTGTAAGCAAATCCATATCTTTGTCCGTCTCCAATAAAAATGTGACGTATTTAAAATTTTATTTGTTTCGCCTCAGTAATTACCAATAAATCAAAATAAAATCAACTTTTAACAATTTTTTTTTTTTTTTGAGATGGTGCTGAATTATAATCTTTTTATCATTTTTGTTATGTGGTTATCCTCAGTCTCAAAGCTTTCACTTTTTCAATACAATCTTACCATTTAGAGAGGTGGTCAAAGATTAAACTTCACCACTTACAATAGTAGTTATCTATAATATTATAAAATATCAACAAAAATGAAAATTTTTTGATTGACTATAATAACCTTAATAAAACACTTAATACCCATATTATCCAACTTTTCACTTATAATAGAAAAATTAGTACTATTTATAATTGTGGGAGTTAGGTAGACTATTAGACTTCTATAATTAACAAAGAGTAATGAATAACTCCCATTTTTCCAAACACAAATTATAATGTAACCTCTCAAGCTACTAAACTTTCCAACTCCACACTCTACCGGTCTTTCCTTCTTCCTCACCTACCTCATTTTTACTCTTTGTCACATCCGCCTTCTCAAGCCAATGCTCTCACTCCACGTTCCCGTATTCAGTCATTGACTTCTCAAGTAATCCCTCAATCTTCTTTCTCTTGCATTTTAGGCTAACACACCCTCTCTCCCTACCTCTTTTCTTTGCATCTCTTAATTGTTTTTATGGTTTTGGTAAGGTTTCATCAAAAATTATATTTAGTTCACCATTTCAGATAGTCCATGTTTTGAATGCTTAGTTTAGTGGGGTATAGAAAAAAGGGTGATGTTACTGCCTAAATAGAAGCAAGAAGTAATGGATCCATTCAACTTGGGTAATTTGCTTCATTTTAAATTTTGATTTTTTTAACTAAATAAGAAAACTTGCGATTTCTCTTAAAAGAACATGTGGAAGATAATCGTCGATTTTCAACTCAAATGTACTTCCAATCTTCACAATTATTTATCCTTAATGACCATACCTCTTTTATTTTTGAAATTTTCACTTCTTTTTATTTTTCATTTGTGCTTACAAGGAATTGACCGTAAATGAAGGAGAAAGGGGAAAATTAAAGTGTATTATTTTAATCTCATGAAAATATCAAATGTTTTTGTTAATTTTTTACAATTTTCATTTACTCTCCTTACCAGTGTTACTCTTCTAGGCAACATCTCATTCCCATTCAAAAGAGAAAGAGAAGTGAAAATGGTGGCCTATAGTCTTGAGTATTGGTTACAAATTCTATGGGTATTGGGCGCAAATTTTTGGGACTTGGATTATTCAAATTGGGTTTAAGTCTTAATGAGGAATCTTTCTCTTTCTTATTGTGGGTTTTTTTTTAGTTAATAAAGACAATTTCAAATTTTATGGCATTTGGTGTTGTTGAATGGAGTATAGTTATATTGCTTGGGCAATGCTACTTGGACTTAATTTAGGTACGGAATTCAATGCGATTGTTGGATGAGTTGTGAGTCCAAGTACCTAATTTAGGTACTTAGTTCAATGCAACTGTTGGATGAGTTGTGAGTCAAAGTACCTAATTTAGGTACCTAATTCAATGCAATTGTTTGATGAGTTGTGAGTCCAAATGCCTAATTTAGGTACCTAATTCAATGCAATTGTTGGATGAGTTATGAGTTTCAATGTTAGATAGAGCCCACTTTAAATCCAATGATTATATTGAATTAAGTCCTCAAATTATGTTTCTAAATGATGTCCAAATAGCATTTTACATATTGCTTATTTCGTTTCAAGAGCTTTTCATTCAAAATTAAGGTTGTCTAAACTTTCTTTTTATTGTACGAGAGACATTTATCTTTTATAGATTGAAAACTTATTTTGCCTTCTAAACTTAGGACGGGAATGACTCATCCTTAAATTTTTATTCAAAAACTAGGTAACTATGGTTTATTATTATAGTGGCGGATTTGTTTTAGAGTTTTTTTTTTTGTTTATTGATCATCTAACCATAGATCCTATATTAATTAAACTAAAGACTTGGTATATCCTTTAAAGACGAGGAAAAATGTGACTTTTCTACATCATAATTTTTTATTTTCGATTATAGATTTAAGTTATCATTCATTATTTTAATATTTGTCAGTGCACTTAAGATATTGTTGGTTTTTTCACCTTTAAGATTTTTTAAAATTTTTTATTGTGATGGATATGTTGAAGATAAATATAAATTGTAATTCTAAGTAGACTGCAATTTTATGTTGATGCAATCATCGGACTAGATGAGGGAATGATGATAAGATTTTCATAAATATGGGTGGGGTTGCATAATTTTTTATTTTTTATTGGTTTTGCTTCCTTAGACCAAGAATGGTGGTTTCTATATTCTATTTCGTTCTAATTTTATGGATTATACATAAATCCATATATTTTTTCCTTCATTTGCTCTTGTTCTGTTTGTTGCTAAAATATAGTTTGAAACATTGAAAAGAAATGATTAATTATGTCAAATTTAGTAGTATGCTAGAAAAAAATTTGTGATATCTATAAGGAAAAATCTATAAAAAAATATCACAAAAAATAATAATAGAAACACAAATTATAAGTTAAAATAATCTACGTGCACGACATGTTTACAACAACTAGTGAAATAAAAATTAAATAACTACTAGTGGGGCTGCTCTTAGGCTGCATTTCAGAATTATAAGAGGGTGTCACTTCTATTAAAATGACGATTTTATCCCCTAACTCGTATATCAAGATAAGTTGGTGGCTAAATTGGAGTTCAATAGCAGTGGTTAATGTGATAAAAATTGAAAATTGGGTTTAAAAGACAACATTTAGAAATTAGTAGGGTAATCAAAAGAAAATAATTTAGACTAGGGTATTTTTAAGAAAAGTGCAATTTTTTTTAACCTTATTTGTCTTAGTTGTTTCGTTGTAATCTGAGCGTCTCAATTTTAAGTCAAAAAAATAATTTTTTTCGCATGTGGAGATAAAATTGCATACATAAATCCTTCTTGGACGTTATAAGATTGCTATACTGTAGTCCAGTGGGGTATCGTTGACTTTATCACTCTGAGGTTGGAGGTTCGAGTCTACATTAGAGCTTGGTTGTTGATCGTTGTGCTAGCTTAATCAGGTTTGTTCCGAAAGGAGTAGCAGGGACAATCAAGGACATAATGATCCCACCAAGCTTATCGAAGTAGTCTCTGGATGCTCTCATTTGTCCACACCACTTTTTTTATATAAAAAAAAACAATGGTTTTTATTATTTGCATTAAAGGAGGGGGATTTTGTATATGGACATAGTTCACACACACTCTCTCTGAAATTAATACGTAGACACAACATATAGGAACAAAATGTAGGGTGTCCAAATCTGTGGGCAAAAGCTTGAATTGAAACTCTCTCTCCCTCTCTCCACACACCCCCCCCCCCCCCAAAAAAAAAAAAAAAAAAAAAAAAGTACCCTTTGTGTAATAATCTTGCTTTCCTCAGTCTTTGGGAACAAAAGATGGGAATAGGATACTGATTGTCCATCTATGAATGGCAATGAATTGTGCTCATAACCAAGAAATGAATAGTGCATTCAACTCTTTTTGTGATTATTCCAATAGCTTAATTAAACAAAGAAATGCTGGACTGATAATTGATATGCTCTCAATTGTCTTTGAACCACTGATTTAGAAAGGGGTATAACATATACAAACATATATGTTCAACAGTATGATTATATCAAGGGAATCGTATTCTATCTGTCAGCATGGGTGAAGAGAAGCCACAAACTGATTCAAAGGTTCTCTTTTAAAGAGAGCTTAAAATATTATTTTAGTTGCTTTGTGCAATACTATATATATAAGTTCAGGAGATTGATCAAAGAGACACACACAAAACCTAAATCTCTACTCTACATATCCTCCATTAAAGCTGCATTTTGCCTCTCATTAATCAAGGTGTTGAGACTCTGAAAGAGAAGTGGTAGCAAATGAAGGTAAGAATGCTAAAAGCTTTCTTCTTCTTTCTTATAAATGATTTGTTGCTATAGTTTGAACTCTCAAAATGACAAAATTAAAACCTCAAAAAAAAAAAAAAATGGTGTCACATATGTATCTGTTGGGGTCTTAAAAATTTGTCTGATTTCCTGATTTAATAACGAAAAAATTGATGATTCCGTAGTTTCATTGAATTGTATCACTTCATACTTCATTAGGTCAAGATATTGCGTCAAATTTATGAAATTCTAAAATATTAATTACCACTTAATTTTATGGTTAAAAAATAATGGTCAAGAAAAGTTCAAAGTATTTTTGTTTATGCACTTTTCAATTTTTATGCTTTTGGACACTTCTCTTTTTTGTTTCCTGGAAAAAAAGAAGTTAAAACTAAGAATCTGGAAGATAAATTCCAACCTTTTGCTATGCCCACTTGTCTTTTACATCATGCTACACCTTCCAAACCACACTATATCTCCATATAATATAGAAGGTGCTCACAAATCATTGTCTTTTCTCCTTTTTCTATTCCCCTACACATTCAATTTCTTCATTATTAAGTTGTGTGATTTACCTGTCTCTTTGATAACTACCATTTGGTCTATTTAGTTTTGATCTTTAAAAAAGAAAAAGAAGTACAAGTGGGGTAGATTCTGGGACGAGAGAGAGAGAGAGTGTGTGTGTGTGATTTGCAGATCATATTCAGTCAATCCTGTATATGCCTTTTGGTGAGTAGGTAGTTGACAAGCGCGTCTTGCTATTTTGGTCACGTGGCCTCTCTATTCCTCTCCCCCACCCAACACCCAACAACAGTTTGTATTTCCCTCCTCTATATATTCAACTCATATCACTTCTTCTCACACACAATTCCAATCCCTCGTTCCCTTGTTTAATTGAAGCATACCCATCTGGGTACAATTCTTATATCCATGTTGGGTTTTAGTAACTCTTGAAAAGTGTGTTCATTTCTGTACTCAGAAGCAGTTAGAGAGTGGTCTATTCAAGAACGCAGAGATAGTAACTTTGTGCTCAAAATTTAAAGCTCATTCAATAACACAGTAGATATTTTTTCTTCTGAATATTATCAAACACTTGCAAAAACTTGATCATTTTCTCTCTCTTTGATAACAAAGATGGGTGAGAACACTGCTTCAAAGAACCAGAATCATCATGCTCACCACCACCAAGTTTTCGACGTCTCGGTCGATAAGGTGCCTCTTCAGGCTGCCTCCAAATGGTACGATGACGATGGCCGTCTCAAAAGAACAGGTATATTCCATATATAACTTTTCACAATTCTACCTTTAGTGGCTTCTCTTTAGAGAAAGATACACATAGCATAGTTCCTCGAGATATAGTCCTACTGTGACTCTCTCTCTTTGTCCCTCTGTTAGTAATAATTTTCCTATTTTATGTGTCAACAGGGACCATTTGGACTGCAAGTGCACACATAATCACAGCTGTGATTGGGTCTGGAGTTCTGTCCTTAGCTTGGGCCACTGCTCAGCTTGGATGGATTGCTGGTCCAACTGTCTTGTTCTTGTTCTCCTTCGTAACTTACTACACTTCTACTCTTCTTTCCGCATGTTACCGCACCGGCGACCCGAACACTGGAAAGAGAAACTACACTTACATGGAGGCTGTTCAATCCAACCTCGGTAAATTTTCTTTCTATTTCCTGAATTCCATGCAAATTGGCAACTGGGTTCTTTTCAAAACTTTGAAATCTGGTCAAAAATTAATCTGAACTTATATGTTTCTTCATCTTATCAGGTGGTGTTAAGGTCAAAATATGTGGGATGATTCAGTACTTCAATCTTGTTGGAGTTGCTATTGGATACACTATTGCAGCATCTATAAGCATGATGTGAGTATGACTTTTTTTCGAAAACAATTTCGATTAGTGTCTCGGGTTGTTTGGAAATCTTAATTTGGGCTAATGGATGGGTTGGTTTTTTGATCAAACAGGGCAATCAAAAGGTCTAACTGCTTCCATGAGAGTGGAGGGAAAGATCCTTGCAAAATATCAAGCAACCCTTACATGATCATGTTTGGCGTCGTGGAAATTGTTTTCTCTCAGATTCCAGACTTTGATCAGATATCATGGCTTTCAATGGTTGCTGCAGTCATGTCCTTTACTTACTCTACAATTGGCCTTGGCCTTGGAATTTCCAAAGTTGCAGGTAAATTGAGCTTCTCTCAGTTTTTTAGTCCTAATTTTTGGTTGAGTTTGCCATAAGGTACCAAGGTGTCACGGGTTTTAATGACATAATCAGTCTCTCCACCTACGGATAAGGCCATCCAGACCCGTAGCAACGGGAGTCTCATACAATGGGTTGCCCTTTATTCAAATAAATGAGTTGTTTCTGCTGAAGTTTACTTACCCACCCAATCCATTCTCTTCTTCATGATCAGAAACTGGGAAATTCAGGGGAAGTCTAACTGGAATAAGCATTGGCACTGTGACTCAAGCTCAAAAAATATGGAGGAGCTTCCAAGCACTAGGGGCCATAGCTTTTGCCTATTCTTACTCTCTTATCCTCATTGAAATTCAGGTATATTCTTAGACATAAATTCAAAAAATAGCAAAAAAAATACAGCTCCGTACACGAGACTCCCACTATTACGAGATCTGGATTTCTTATCAACTTCTACTCCATGCTTATATATGACAGGACACAATCAAATCCCCACCACCATCAGAAGCCAAGACAATGGAGAAGGCTACTCTCATAAGTGTTTCAGTAACAACCATTTTCTACATGCTGTGTGGCTGCTTTGGCTATGCAGCTTTCGGAGACATGGCTCCTGGAAACCTCCTAACCGGCTTTGGGTTCTACAACCCCTATTGGCTTCTTGACATTGCAAATGCAGCCATAGTGATCCACCTTATTGGTGCATACCAAGTTTACTGCCAACCCCTTTACGCCTTCGTCGAAAAAACAGCAGCAGATTGGTTTCCACAAAGTCCACTAATCGCCAAAGAAATCGAAATCCCAATCCCTGGCTTCAAGCCATACAAACTCAATATTTTCCGGTTGGTTTGGCGAACATTATTCGTGATCATCACAACAATTGTATCAATGCTAATGCCATTCTTCAACGATATCGTTGGCATCCTCGGGGCGTTCGGATTCTGGCCTCTCACCGTCTATTTTCCTGTGGAGATGTACATAGTTCAGAAGCAGATACCAAAATGGAGCACAAGATGGCTGTGCCTACAAATCCTAAGTGTTGCTTGCCTCATCATTTCTATTGCAGCAGCTGCTGGTTCATTTGCTGGGGTTGTTAGTGATCTCAAGGTTTACAAGCCTTTCAAGACCAGTTACTAATTAAATTACAGTTTCACCCACGTACAGAAAAGATTTACGAGACAAAAGGGAGGAAAAGTGAAAATTGGAACTGTAATTCTTGCTCATGTTCATAAGAAGCATAAAAGAGTGATGCAGCAATTGTCACTCTTTAGTTTAATGTTGGTTTTTACTGCTGCTTATGGAAATGTAAGGTCCATTGTATGTATCAATTTGGAATTCAAATATGAAACTTTGTCCCAACCATGTGACTTCATCTGTTTTTCCAATTGAACTAAGGCAATTTTCAAGCATTATTAAGCTTTGCAAAACATTATTCTAGGTTTTGTAAAATATAAATTTGTTCTGTACAATATCATCTGTATCTCAAGCTTATGAAGCACTTCATGACAGACACTTCACCAAATAATGTGTGACAAAGTCATGGACTTGGTACCCTCACCTCACCTCGTCAATTGGCTCGATTACGGGTCGTTCAAATTGTAAAATTTATTAAATTTGATTAAATTTCTCAGCTCATTTTGTAAATGAGTCGAATACAATTAACGTGCGACAATGCTAGAATAAGTTTTTGTGTATATATATTTCTAATTATCTTTTGAAACAATTTCTACTAGAATGCTCTCAAGTTTTCACTGGCCAACCTTGAGCAAAAATCCAAATGCAACACACGACCAAACCAAGCTAGACTGCACTTAAACTCTACAGATTCGACACAATTAGCATCGGTAGTTAATAATCTTGCCATCTTGGGCAAATGGATTTTTGAGTCACCAAAAACAAAAGCCTAGACTTTTTCTACCTAACTGCCTATTAATATTATGTCACGTATCAATGGGCTTTTGGTCCAAAAATATTTTTTATTTTATAAAGACTTTGTCTTCTTGAAGTCAAGAATTCTAATAAAATAAAATATTATGTCACGTATGAAAATTGTGAAATAATTGGTGTCCGTCTTCTAATAACCCGTGAACATCGCACATATTAATACCCCAAAAAAATCGAGCTACGCTATATTCCCAATCTTTTTTTACCAAATTTGACTATCCAAGTGATGTGATATACTAGAAACCATCAAATAAAGGGGGACAATTAATATCAAAGGGTTGTGGTTCTGCCACGTGGGTTGGAAGGAGAATTGGGGTAAAAAAAAATTGAGAAGTGTAGTTTTATTGGTGGGAATGGGTGTTTTTTTGGGGGATACAGAGAGAAGATGAAATTGGAAAAATAAATATAAAAAACATTTTTTGAAATATTGTCAAAACACAAAAAAGCTGTTTATCTATGTTTACAGCCTAATATATGTTGAAAACACTAAATATCCCCAATTATTAGAAAAACCAAGGTAAATCTAAAATTACAACTTACCCCTAACAGGGGAGAATATAGAAAAGTTCGTCATTTTTGGGTTAAAAATTAAAGAATTGATAAAAATAATTTTTTGTATAACCAGTTCCGAGAATTCATAAATAAATTTTGAAGAGTAAAACGTAATTGAATGGATGGATGCCGCCCATGCCAGTTATAGAGTAGTGTGGTTTAAAAACACGACTCTATTAACTCCCTTACTTAAGAGCTTTGTGCCCAATAGCCTGTTGACATCATTTCACCTATAACTATTAAACTGTCAAACAATTGTTGTCTATTTGCCTTTTAAGGACCCTCTGAAGTTCTGGTTCAAAAAATACACACAGGACCCTTTGAAGTTCCCAAGTATGCCTACCAAAAATTATTTACAGAGGACATGGAAACAAGTACAGGTTGTGGCATCACAACTAATCCTATACGTATCAAAACTTTTATAGAAAATTTTAGTCACACTCCTCATAGTTTATTATATCTTCAAAAATACATTTTTTATTATTAAAAACATCATTGACATCTATTCTAATTTATATTTAAATATTACTAATACCCCCTACTATTAAACTACCATTTCTTACAAAAAAAAAATTTCATCTAAAATACTAAAAATATCCCTACATAAACCTCAAGTAATTTTTTTATATAAAATTTGAGCCGATTAAAATTTATTTTTCTACAAATTAAAATTTGGTTGAAGTTGATTAAATTTTATTTTTTAAAACTTATTAAAATTTGAGCCTATTAAAATTTATTTTTTACTTATTAAAATTTGAGTCGATTTGAACTCTGTCCGAGTTGTTAGCGCCGATTAAAATTCGTTTTCGAGTCGACTAAAATTTATATTTTTTTACTTATTAAAATTCGTGTCAATTAAAATTCGATTTATTAAAATTTGAGTCAATTAAAATTTATATTTTTTTATGTTTTAAAATTTGGGTTGAATTCAATGCGAGTTGATTAAAATTTGATTCGAGTCGATTAAAAATAATTTTTAATTGGCTCAAATATAATTTTAATTAGCCCAAATTTTAATATGTAAAAAATATAATTTTTAATCAGCTCAAATTTTAATTTGTAATGAATCGAATTTTAATCGGCTCGAAGTTTAATTTATAAAAAAAAAAATAGAAAACAGAGGGGGTCTCATTGAAGATATGTTTATCTAAAGGGGGTGTGGTTAAAATGTTTTTAAATTTTTATCAAAAAATATTTTTACCAAATGAATTGACAACTCCATATTATTTTTAAACTCACCAAATGTTCATAAGAATAATTTTGATTGGATGTGTAGCTGCCAACTTATTTAGTAAAAATATTTTTTAATTAAAATTTTGGTAAACATAGCATTACTCGTGGCAACACAGAGGTTATACAGTAACCTTGATTATTATTATTTTTTTCTCTCCTTTATGAACAAGAACCATTTTAGCTAAGTAATTTTTTTTTTTTGGTTCAACTATGAGAGATGGGTAGACCAGCTTATGCGTACCTCAACAAATCCTTTTTTCAATCCAATCAAAGATAAGTCATGACCTAACTCTAAAAAATTATCAAAATTCGAATTCAGAACGTTTAGATTTACAACTCGTCTCTGTTATTATTTGAACTATTCATTAGAGTTGATGCCTAAATTTGGGATGTGCCCAGCTATCTCCAATAAACCTTGATTTGTTTTATTTGTACACAAACAACAAAATTGTTTTAATCAAGTATCTTTAAACCCGTGATGCTGAAACAAATCAAATTACAGAAATCACTAGCTATCCCCAAAAAATTCTTCATTCTTTTCATTTCTTTTTGCCTTTTTGAATAGGAACAACAATCAATTCATTGGATTGACCAAAATGTAATGAGTACATGAAGGACAAATGTTAGAACACAGCTGTATGAATCAACCAGTTGCAAGTTAAGTGATATAAACTATTTTTATTCCATACCCTTAACATGGAACCTTCATAAGAACCATCAAAAGTGCCCTTTACTGAGCACCACCCATTAAAAAAGAAAATCAGACTTTCTTTGTCTAGTATACAAGAAACATTGACTATCTAGCCATCCAATCCATGATTTGGAATCACATTTAATCTTCCCATTCTCTGATTGGTACCCTTTTTAGGTCATTGTGTAAAAATTAGATAACTTTTTGGAAGAATGCAAGGTACGAGTAAGAGCGACAATTTTTTAAACGCAAAATTAACGCGACGTAAATCGAGTACAAAACTAACAAGATTATGGTTAACTAGTTCTTAACATAGTCTACCCAAATGAATAATATACAAGTTGAATTAGTAGCCGTGTAAGATTCTTTTTGTTTTTCATTTTCTTTTTTCATGTAAATTTAAAGTGATTTCTTACTCTTGATTTTTTCAATATTTGGATTAAATAAGTTTTTAGTTTATACGTGTCACGAGATTAGTAGATAGTTTGAGTAATGAGCCATGATTTCTTGGATTGTGGATTGCACTGTCCCTATTTCTTGAAAGCTTGGTTTGATAGCAAAGAGTCAATCGTTTGTATATCGAGCGCAACAAATGTTCTTACTCAAGTCACTCAACATTTTCAAATCGAGTTTGATTGTATTAGACTAATATTCAACATTAACTCAAGATCACACAATTTGCACACAATATGATACGACTCGGTTACCATTATTTTATATGGGCCCTCCCCTCATCTTTTTTTCTGAAGCACAAACATTGACCTTTGGCATCTACTAACACCATCCATCCACACCCATATCCCCCACCACCAATGTGGGGAATGGATGGAGGAGAAGCAAAGATTCCAAATCTGCACATTATGAGTAGGAAAGGTGAAGAGCAATAGATTCTGTAAGCTAGCAGTAGAGTTTTAAAATATCTGTGGAAATGATTACAGCTCTAAATTCAACTCTTTTCAACAAATCTTTGGCCTTCAGGTCTAGCATTTGGAAACCCTCTTGCCCACTATCAATTATAAAGCAAAACCAGAAAGCCGAAAGAACCAAGGTTCAGTCAATGTGAAGCCATCCCTGGTTTTGCTTCAGCTCCTTTCTGGTTTGGTGGAAAAGAAAATTGTGTGAGAAGAAATATGTTTCACCCATGGGTTGAAGAGAAAATTTGGGGGGGGGGGGGGG